GCTGTGTCAACTGGTATTAAATATTACTCATGAATTGAACTTGTTCATGGCTTTGACTTGAACTGTCTTTCTAGAAGGATATCTAGTGTCTCATTCAGCATCATTAATGATCACTAAGTTAAGAACTAAACCTATTCCTTTAATTTTGTTAACCTGCACAGGAACTTTAGCATGTTTTCCTCTACTATAGGCAATACATATTTAGACCTATAGTCATTGCATCAGAATGAAAGAAATTTACCATAGAAATTGCTGCGTGAGTTATCTGCAAAACATCTCGGCAGGCTGCAACAGATCCATCTGCACAATAGATGCTAAGAATTTTTTAAAAAGTAAAAGTTTGCTACTTGGATCAGACTTCAGGAAAAGAATACTGACCTTTTCTACAACTGGCAGATGAAAAACTTCCCATCATGCATTATATGCAATGCATCAAGTATTGTCGTTCTAGCGTTGCACATTCCGGGTTTGATGTCATTACCTGAACAAGTAAGAAAACGTACTAGTGTGTTCAAAATAAGGTTTCAAGATTCAAACTTGTTCTTACAAATAGTGAAAACAATAATATAAACATATATTCAAAAGAAAAGCATATGCTATGACCATCCAAATCCTTATCTGGAACCCGAGATGAAAAAGTACTACGCAGTAGAAGGAAAAATCAGTTGCAGTACAAGTAAATGGGAAGTAACTGTGAATTTAGTCAACCAATCACATGATTGTTAAGTATTGAAAAAAATCTGAAGCAAGCAAAATAAAAAATATTTTAGCATGGGGCAGTGTAATTCATGGAAACTAAATTACAAACCCAATTTCCAATTCTAATTTTTGAGTCTCTAAGTCTTGAAAAAAATAAAAATAAAATTACACTTGAATCTATGAACTGAATGTTCTGGTCCTAATATGAAGTTCATCCATAGACATTCTTCACAGACAATAAAAGTTCTATTAAACTAAAATTAATTTACAAAGATACCAACAAAAAATAACTAAATCACAAAGACTTAGAAAATTAAGAAACAACAGGTGCGCAATCCTTACATTCTTGGGTTTTCAAAAATTGACAATCAAATGTCAAGTTTGTCCCCATTGTCAGAAATCACCCCTCCCTTTTCCTAAATTGTACATAAACTACCCCTAAGTTAAACTATCCCTTAGCCAAACACCCATTCTTTTACCTGAAATATGCTGATAAAATGCATCTATGCCCTCACTTCTGCTGTGCTAAGAAAGAACGATAAAATGACATAAATAACCCGCAAGACTATTAGGAATAGTAACATGAGCATATTACCTAACAAACAAATTTAACTAAAACATCATGAAATATATATGCATATTGTACCTAAACACATATTAAAAATGTTCAATATTTAACTAAAACAGTGTTAAATATATTACAAATAATCAGCATTCATATTAAATAATATATAAATATTAAAATACAACATTTTTAACAAATATATTACAATACATTCTAAATTTTTTTCTTATAGGAAACAATATTGGTGAGAAAAACTTAAAACAGTGGACCAGGTATGCACTACTACAAAAAGAACCCATCTAACTGGGGTCCAAGGCCTTAGAAAGAGTATCATGAACCTCAATAACCATTGCAGGAAGAATAAACAAAAATAGAGATTACTACATCTTGAACAGACAAAAAACAAGAATCAACTTGCACCCCTAACCAATTAAGATGGATAAAGAAAAAGAAGCGTCTTCAAGTCTTTTGAGACAAGAGACTTCTTTTCTTAATAACTAAAGCCTCTTTTTCTGAGCTGAAGATTCAAATCCAAATCAAAAACAAAAACATGTGTATAAATAACAACACTGTGATCCTAATCAAATAGGAAATAAAAGTCTAAAAGGACTCAGAAACATAATAAAACCAAAACAATCTTGAATATCAAATCCTAAAACCAAGACAAAAGACAAAAAAAAAAAAATACATCTATCCTACACATCTACATCCAATGATCAAGGGCCGCCACGCATGACGTTGCTACCCCGGCCTTAGGTGGTCGGGATTCGTCCAAATCATTAGATTGTTGGCCTCTAATCCGTAACACATTGACAATGACACTAACAGTGTGACGAATAGTTTTTGAAGTTTTAAAATCATAATTATTTAAAAAAATATATAATTATTAAATTAATAATTAGTTTTCAATTCATTTCTTCCAGGATAATGAGAAATTGGCATTTAAAAAGGATAAATTGGACATTTTAACATTCCATTACTAGTAATGGATGTCGTTCCTCCCAATTTTGGAAGGAATGTTACTCTACCCTTATATCACTTCTATGAACCACACAAAGAACTGGGAATGAGATTCCCATTCCCTAGTCCATTCACCCAAAACAAACATGACCTAAGGTATCAAATAAGGAGAATAGAGAATCTAGAATCTAAATTTTGGAGTTTAAGCAGTGTTTTATTTTAAGAATATGGATTGGGTTAAATTTGGAGTTTTTTAATTAGATTTTTCTAATTTGCTCACATGAGTAGTATTAGGGCTTATAATTAAGCCACTAATTTAGAGTTGAAGACTTCAATGAATATTGAAGAGTGTGCTTGTCTCAAACACTACGTTTCCTCTTCCCTTCAATTTTATCAAATCTCTTAATCGTTTTCCTTTCTTGCTATCTGTTATTTATATGATACTTATCCGAACTCATTACATGCTATTAAAAGAATCAATTTCATTAATCACTTGTAAAGTTCTTGTTAAATACGCTCACATCAAACCATCTATTTTTCATTACTAATTACGCATGCAATCAATAATATTTATAAATAACTATTTGGACCAATTTTGGCTGGAATATCTAACTTTTCCTTAAGGAGGTGTTTGGTTTTGTGAATGATGTATTACTGGAAATGTTATACTAATAGGAAGATAAATAACCTTGAAAATTATTGAGAATCTTATTAAAAATATGTTGGGTTAGATAAGATTAAATTAAAGAGTATGTTATATTAATGTGCTTAATTGGGAGGAATAAATTGGTGAGTATGTTATATTTAAGGGTTAGATTACTAAATTATCCTTATATTTTAATATTATTATTAATATGTATTTTATTATTTATCCCCAACATTTTAGATTTAGCTAAAACATCCCAACAACCAAAAAAAATTTAGAACTTAACAAAAACACCCCAGCCATCTTCCCAGGTTTTAATGGCTGCCACCGGCAACCACCGCTAGCAGTCGCCTAAACAGCGCACGGCCGATCGGATCTGGTGCGCCGGTAAGGCCGTTTCATAGCCACATCTTCGGCTATGTAACAGCCACAGATTTGGTCGTTTCATCACGATCACATCTTTGACTGTGAAATGACCATAGATCTGGCCTTTCACGGCCAAATCTGTGGCCGTCCAAACATAGGTCACATTTCCATGGTTGGAAATGGCTTTACCAGCACATGGCCAACTGTTACAATGACTAACGGTGATGGTTGACGGTGGCCGACAGTCCTCTTGGGTGACTAGGGTGATGGTTGTGGTCTTGAGCAATTTGGTTGAAGTACAAGGGTAATTCTGTCTTAAAAATCTTGAGAACAAGGCTAAAATTGTTCACAAAATTCTTGTAACAAGGGCATTACTGTCCTAATTTTTTTTAATAAGGGATAAAACTGTAACAAAATAACATTACCAAGTAATCTTAGAATACTTAAGAAAATAATAGTATTCAGATTACCACCTATATAACCAACAGTGATTACTATTAATTTTGAAAGATTATCGGAATCTTATATTACTTGACAACCAAACATGGTAATGTAAATAATATAAGATGACATTACCTCAATCATGAGGGATAACCCCCAACCAAACAACCTCTAAATATTAAGTATATTATAAAGACTTTAATAAATAGTAACCGATATCATGCAAAAAATAATAATAATAATAATAAAAGCATAAACAAAAAAATTTAATGTATTTTCATTACTATGTTTATCAATTCATTTTCTAAAAGAATAAGGTGAATTGGAGATTAACTTCATCTCTTAATTTCTTATGTCTCTTAGTCGAAGGAAAAAACAGAAAAAAAAAAAAATAATAATTATTCAAACATTCACAATAATAAAGTCAAAACATGATAAATAAAAGCCTGCAAATTTATTTTATTCAAAAAGAAGACATCCAGACAAACCCTTCAAAATTTACTCCCACTACAAATATAATAAAAAACTTGATTCCTTTAACCACTAATCTCAAGAGAACTTTTATCATTAATATCAAAACTTTGCAAGAAAACCACATGAAACTTATTTTGGTGTTTCACCAAAGTCTCCAAATTCCCATGCCAATGACAATGATAGCATAATTCTTTTTCTTGATAGGAAACAAAATGAAATGTATTGATGATAAAAAGGAGTACAGGATAGTTTTATGTAAAATTAACAAGTATATCTCTTTTTGTTGGGATTAATTGATGTAAAATAGTTTTTGTCAAATTCATTAGTTTTCCTAGTTTGGTTTAGTTTCCGTCAATCATAGTTTTCTTATTTAAGTAACTCGTGTTTTGTTATTTCAATTTCTCCTTCTCACGATTTCTTATCCCAGTCATATTAAGAATAGCATACTATAAATACATCTTTTATGTTTCAAGTAATGAAAACCTTATAATTAATAAAATTTATAAAATTTCATAGATTCAATGATATTTATGAAACCTCTAGTGGATTCAGGAGTTTAGAACTAATATATTTGAGTTGTTCATAGATTTGAACTGCCTGACAAGAACGATATGTAACATTTTTTTTTTTTTTTCTGAGAAACTATAAAGTCCTTATTAAATTAGTAAAGATAACAAGATACAATTGTGGACCAGGTATCTACAAAGAATAAAAAAAACGAGGAAGAAAGAAATCTATAAACTAGTCTTTCTAATTTTGCTGTGTCAACTGGTATTATATATTACTCATGAATTGAACTTGTTCATGGCTTTGACTTTGAACTGTCTTTCTAGAAGGATATCTAGTGTCTCATTTCACAGCATCATTAATGATCACTAAGTTGAGAACTAAAGCTATTCCTTTTAATTTTGTTAACCTGCACAGGAACTTTGGCATGTTTTCCTCTACTATAGGCAATACATATTTAGACCCTATAGTCATTGCATCAGAATGAAAGAAATTTACCATAGAAATTGCTGCGTGAGTTATCTGCAAAACATCTAGGCAGGCTGCAACAGATCCATCTGCACAATAGATGCTAAGAATTTTTTTAAAAAGTAAAAGTTTGCTACTCTGGATCAGACTTCAGGAAAAGAATACTGACCTTTTTCTACAACTGGAAGATGTAAAAACTTCCCATCATGCATTGTATGCAATGCATCAAGTATTGTCGTTTCTAGCGTTGCACATTCCGGGTTTGATGTCATTACCTGAACAAGTAAGCAAACGTACTAGTGTGTTCAAAATAAGGTTATCAAGATTCAAACTTGCTCTCACAAATAGTGAAAACAATAATAAAAACATATATTCAAAAGAAAAGCATATGCTATGACCATCCAAATCCTTACTTCTGGAACCCGAGATGAAAAAGTACATACGCAGTAGAAGGAAAAATCAGTTGCAGTACAAGTAAATGGGAAGCTAACTGTGATATTTATGTCAACCAATCACATGATTGTTAAGTAATTGAAAAAATCTGAAGCAAGCAAAATAAAAAATATTTTAGCATGGGGCAGTGTAATTCCATGGAAACTAAATTACAAACCCAATTTCCAATCTTAATTTTTGAGTCTCTAAGTCTTGAAAAAAATAAAATAAAATTACACTTGAATCTATGAACTGAATGTTCTGGTCCTAATATGAAGTTCATCCATAGACATTCTTCACAAGACAATAAAAGTTCTATTAAAACTAAAATTAATTTACAAAGATACCAACAAAAAATCCACTAAATCACAAAGACTTAGAAAATTAAAAAACAACAGGTGCGCAATCCTTATTATTCTTGGGTTTTCAAAAATTGACAATCAAATGTCAAGTTTGTCCCCATTTGTCAGAAATCACCCCTCCCTTTTCCTAAATTGTACATAAACTACCCCTTAAGTTATACATAAACTATCCCTTAGCCAAACACCCATTCTTTTACCTGAAATATGCTAATAAAATGCATCTATGCCCTCATTTCTGCGTGTGCTAAGAAAGAACGATAAAATGACCATAAATAACCCGCAAGACTATTTAGGAATAAGTAACATGAGCATATTACCTAACAAACAAATTTAACTAAAACATCATGAAATATATTATGCATATTGTACCTAAAACACATATTAAAAATGTTCAATATTTAACTAAAACAGTGTTAAATATATTACAAATAATCAGCATTCACATTAAATAATATATAAATATTTAAAATACAACATTTTTAACAAATTAATATTACAATACATTCTAAAATTTTTTTCTTATAGGAAACATATATGGTGAAAAAAACTAAAAACAGTGGACCAGGTATGCACTACTACAAAAAGAACCCATCTAACTGGGGTCCAAGGCCTTAGAAAGAGTATCATGAACCTCAATAACCTATTGCAGGAAGAATAAACAAAAAATAGAGATTACTACATCTTGAATAGACAAAAAACAAGAATCAACTTGCACCCCTAACCAATTAAGATGGATAAGGAAAAAGAAGCGTCTTCAAGTCTTTTGAGACAAAGAGACTTCTTCTTCTTTAATAACTAAAGCCTCTTTTTCTGAGCTGAAGTTCAAATCCATATCAAAAACAAAAACATAATTGTATAAATAACAACACTGTGCTCCTAATCAAATAGGAAATAAAATTCTAAAAGGACTCAGAAACATAACAAAACTCCAAAACAATCTTGAAATATCAAATCCCTAAAACCAAGACAAAAGACAAAAAAAAAAAAAACTACATCTATCCTACACATCCTACATCAATTTAACCAACGCCATATGGACAGAATCCCATCTCACCCTAAGGAAAAGAAGAAATCCCTTACATTTCTCTTTCTTGCAATTTTAACCCACAAAAAATCAGGAATACAAACTCTATTTCAGAGCATATCCACGTCCTGATCCACGAAGCATTCAACGATCCTCCTATTCTCATCAACCCAAATAATCCCAAACAACAGCCAGATTACAACATCTCCAAAAGACCAGAGCTTTTTCTCCAAATGCACAATGATGATCAATAGGCAACGAGACACAAGACTTTTAACACCCTATTTATCTAAACTCTTAAACACTTCAACCAACACGGTAAAAAACTATACGTTAGAAACTTTTTACTTTCCTTATACAGTTAAAGACTGAATTGGAGAACGAAAAACATCAAATCATCTCAAAAGACAAGCATTAGAGTACCTACTTGAATAACAACATATGCATTAACCTATCCACGTGCCAAAAATTTGGGCGAAAACTTGAGGAGAAACTCTTGATTCCATATCATAATTGTAGGTTTACTTTGTTCCTAGAAAGTTTGAATATGCAAAATAATTAAGGCTTAGCGTTTTTTTCAGTGCTATACAAATAAAGCACTTATACTTAATGGCAATCAATATGGTTTTGATCTTGGATTATGCAAAAGGAAACAAAAATAAAGCAAAATCCTACTGCAAAAAAATTTATCTATCACCAAGGAATTCATCCCCCAATCAAACTCAACACAAGGAACACCAAAAAAGGAAAACCAATGTGTAAAATCATGGCATATCATGGCATTGCTCCTCCATCAGTAAATTATAGACCAACACAAGTAAACCATAATATTCAAACTAAAAAAAAAAAATCCTTAATATAATTTTTGACAATTATTAGTAAAAGAAAAAGTAAGAGAGAGTGAGAAAGATATTGCAATTTAACCACGTAAAAAGATTCAAGAGATAAAACTATATCCATATGAACAGAATAAATACAAATTTTAAGAATAAATTCTCAAAATGAACCTTTTCCACTAAAGTCAACTCAGGAGAAAGATTTTGTGCCACAACTCGCATAAGGATATCCTTCGAACTACAATAAAAAAGGAAAAAAAGCATAATTAAATAGATGTCAAATGAAAAGTTAAATGTCATTAAATGCATAAAAACTAAGCAAAATATTCAAATTACTTATGAGAGCCCGTGAAGACAAGAACAATACGTTAGTATTCCCTGAATTTTATTTCCTGTAACAATGATAACTGAGTTGCACCGCAATTCCCGCATCTTTCTTGCAGCAACATAAACAGGATCAGATGGCAACACAATGGCAACTCTGACATATTAAAAAGCTTGAAATAAGAAAACGCCAACTCCATATCAAAATAGTAACTTAAATTTTACAAAAGAGAAGCTAACAAATAGCTCATTAGGAAATTACTTGGTATTGTCAGCAATGATGGTAGACAAGGAAGGCTTGAACATCTTCTCCCTCAAAGTTTCAATGAATGGAAGTGGGGCTGAAATTGAATATGACAAACAATTATATATTATAATCTATCTAAAGCATGGAAGCATGCACGCAGGCAGAGAATTAGTTGAATCAAAATAAATATCCAATGCATGTCCTCAAACTCTTAATACTTTTTTTTTTTCAACTTATTTACAGATTCACTCGTACACATTTGGAATTGCATCAATTACCCGAGATTTGTCATCACTACACCAAAACTTTCAAACACCCAATTCAGCCACCCTCTTAGGTTGCCACACATATTATATATGTTCTCCAATTTCAAAAACAAAAATGAAACAAAACAAATTCAATTTCCCATCTCATTTAAATCCATTTTCGAAGACAACTTTGTAAACAATACCAAGTCATGCCCAAAGATTAACACCTTCGTTCTAGTCCATCACATTCCCTTCACCACATTACAATCTTTTCCATTTTTCCATATTAAAAAAAAATAAATAAAAAGTTGATGTACAAGTTAATTTACAAAAGGTGGACCAGTAATCCACTGATCTTTGCTCATTATAACAAGGAAAAAAAAAAAAAAAAAAAAACCTCAAATAAGTCAAAGTATTCATCTGACAAGGCTTCCAATTTTGTTGGATAAAATAGCGTGAAATATTTTTAATTTATAGATCACAAAGATTATGGTGACCCAAAAAAACTGCTTATCCTGTTAAAAATAAATTTTCTCCTCCTAACATCTTTAAAAATTCTTCTATTTCTTTCCAACATAAAACCCAGAAACAGTAACATAACCCAAAACAGTCATTTGTCAAAATTTTACAATACCAAAGCATTTTTCTCTTCGCCAAAATCCCCTACTTCCCAACCTTATGTTTCCTACAATAAACCAGCACACTCAGGGTCTCATCATAATCTCATCAAGAATTTTTCCATTAATAATTTTTTATTAAACAAACTTAATAATTTTTTTCTTTTTATTCTATTAAACTGAATGATAAATAAAATAGTTATACTAAACTTTTGTTTTCTTTTCCCTCTCTCTTATCCATCTCCTCTCCACTCAAATTCTTGTCTTCCTAACCTATTTCTTATCTCTTCTATTCTACTCCTTATTTCTAATTCATTTCCACTATTTCTTTATTATAATTTCTTCCCTTCTCTCATCTTTTCTATCTCTACTCTTTATTCATCCATATCTTTTATAACTATTTCCTTGTAATCTAGTTTCAGTCCTTGCTCCCCTAACCACATCACAAAACCTTTACAAAAAAAATTAAACCATAAATCCTCATTACAGTAAGCACAGCCAACAAACAAATTATAAGCAATCCACTTTCAAGATGTCCTAAGTCATATAACCTGTAAGTGTTCATCTTAACTGATTAAATATTGTTACTTAACAATCTCTTGAAGATCTCCCCAAAAGCCTTAGGAGTATGAAGAATCTTCCTCTTTTCTCTCTCTCTCATAACTTTCTCCTTGTTATATCACAATCTTTTGAATACTAACTTCTCTGTATGAGAAGATAAAAAGATTTACTTTTTATAAGGGTCAGGATAGTGTAAGTTTTAATTTTTCGACACCAATTAATAACCATCTATCTAATTCAATCCAATAGTTGAAAGAAGGAAGTTAAGCAGTAGTTATTAAAATGTTAGCTTATAAAATGTTTGAACCATTGGATTGAATTCAATGGAGGGTATTTAAATAGTGTCAGAAAAATAAGTTATAATATCCCAACCCATATTCACATTTGACAGAGGAATAAAATTGATATATACAACAGAGTAAATTCTCATTAGTGAAACAAGACGTTGTAAATGTTTAACATGAGCATTCAGTTAGTGAAGTGGTGATATGTACCAAAGGACAAGTGGTGATATGTTGTTAGTCTAAAATAAAATATATAAACTAACCAGAAAAATTGCTTCCCCACTGGCGTTCCACACCTTCAACTGCAGCAGCGATAGCACTCCCCTGTTCAGCAGCCTTCTCCATTCTAGAAATGGCATCATAGAGGCACTTTGTAATATCCAGTATGGCAATAACCTCACCATTTTCAACAACAGGGAGATGCCTGAACTTTCCTGTTGACAAAATAAAACTAACTCAATCAGACATCGCCTGATTAATTTGCAAACTAGTGCATCTGCCACATTTTCATCAGAATCAAGCAATATATTAAGTCATTTTAGTCCTTTTATTTGAAAGCATTATGGAGTATCAAAAAGGAAAAATATCACCACAAGTTTATAAAAAATATAATAAGGTAAAGCTCTTAACAACCAGTCTATGATAAATAAAATATGCTACTTGCCACCAAATTGATAATTTTGCAAAGTTTCCTTTTCATCCCCTCAACTACATTTTTCTTAGTGCACACGTGTGTAAGGCAACCAGTGGCCTGATGCTTATATTTTGCATCCATTAGAATTGAAAAGTTGACTTGATCATCAGTAGCCTGAGTATTCAGAAGAATGAATGACTTAAATAAGGCAAAAAGTCCAAAGTTGGCAAAGTGTCAAATCTTATCTCCAATACAATAGATGATTTATAAAATAAAATAAAAACGCTAAACTCTTAACAACCTTAGCATGATACCTTATTACTAAAAGCAGCAAGAAAAATAAATATCCTTTAGAGCCCAAACTGGTCCCAATATTTTGGTTCCATCTCCATGATGTAAAATAAGACACAGAAAACTACTTTTTCACGCTGAAACCATGAGCTATAGTTCTTAGTTACATGAAACTTTTAAAAACTTCTCCTACCAAAAGAATCAATAAGTAGGTCTAAACAGTATAGCGAAAACGAGTCCCCTAATTCACTTGCCTACATTAAAAAATGTTTAATTTTTATTTGTTTTTTCGAAAGGAAGAATTACAGAAATGAAGCTGACCTTGAACCATTTTCTGGAGAGCTTCAATGGCTAACGAATCCGAAGTGACAAATATAGGATTGCGCGTCATGATTTTAGAAACAATTGTCTGGTCCGGTCTCAAACCATCAGCTATAACTCTAGTGGCAATATCCTTCGAAATTATAAACGAAAAAAAAAAAAAAAAACGGAAGGAAACATTGAGAAAAATGGAAAAAAATAAAGAGAGAAAGAAATTAATGAAGACGCGGATACTCATAAGAAAAAAATGATAATGACAATAACCTTGTCGGTAACAATTCCAGATAATAAAGCATTAGCATCGGTCAACAAAACAGCATCAACACGGCGAGCGGCCATCCGGCGACAAGCATCGGAGACAATAGTTCCCTCGGGAATAGTTAGGGCTTTCGATAATTTCAGCTTCTTAACAGTCCTCGTCCACCAACAGAAGATTGTGAAGAAGGAGGAGAAGCAGGCTTAGTTGGAGATGTTTCCATTGCCGTTTTCATTTCCGGATTTCTTGGCCGTGGTGGCCCTCGCTTCATGCTCCGACGAACGCTCCCGTGACTGCTCATCTTATCAAACTACTGTCTAGGGCTGGCCGCTGATAAAATATCTCTTTCCCACCACCACACCGCTCTGACTCTCTTTCTTATTTGAATTGAAATTTGAAGCTGGATATTAATGTTCACCACCATTCGTTGTTGGGCCCCATCCTTGGCTATATTTCATGATTAGAATAATTAAGATAATGATAGCCTTACTCCCCCCCTACTCTTGTCTGACAGTCACGTTGCTTTTTTATTACGTCATTCAAGCCCCTAAATTTAAAAAATAAAAAAAATTTAAACATTAATTTCGGATTTCAAAATTTTCAAACCCCAAATTTCACATATTAGTCGAACCCTATTAAATCCACTTCCCCCGTATTTCAAAATCCTAAAATTTGAAATCTGTTCTTCCCCAAAACCATTTGAACCCTAAAATTTTTCCAAACCCAATTTCAATTTTGTAAAACCTTAGCCACCACGTATCCTTTTTGAATGATAAACTAACAGAAAAAATGAAACTTATGTTAGATTTTTGCTAGGACTGTAAAAAAAATCGGTAACCAACCAAACACGGTAACTGAACCAATCGAACCTAAATTTTCAAGTACCTGAAAATTCGGGTCAGTTTCAGATAATTTTTATAAAGTACCCAAATTTTCGGTTATTTAATTTAAGATAATCGGATACCCGGTTTTATTAAAAAAAAAAAAACCCAATTTTTAAATTTTTTTTTTTACTTCAATTTTCAAAGGCCCAAATAGCAAATCATTGTCCTAAAAGCTAAAATTTCAGCCCGTCAGGTCCGCACTTTGCTCTCGTCTCTCTCAAATTCTCTAGTCTCTAGTTCGTAGTTCACTCTCCGAAAGTGCGTCGCCATAGGTCCCGCAATCTGCACTCATCCTCTCAAATTATTGTTCAATAAAGTGCGTCAGCTGTCAGGTCCGCAATCTGCACTCATCTCTCTCAAATTATTCGGCAGTTACACATTGTTCCTTACTACTTTAACTAAATTATGTGTGAGATATATCCCTCAACAAATAATCGACAATTCATAGAAGAGTGAATCTGTTGTAATTAAGTGATATTTGAAAGGCAAAAGAATATTAAGGATAAGAAAGAAAAAAAAAAGTAGAAGAAAAGAGTAGCAGAGATTTGATTCTGTATTTTTATTTCCTTTCACATACTTCTTGCTGCTGCTTCTTCAGTTGTAAAATTATTGAATGAAATAACCCTGATGGAATTGTGTCTTGTAAAAAATTTGAATTTTAATCAAATTCGGTCATAACTGGGTATTTGGTTTTCGACCCGAATATTCGGTACCTGCAAACCGGGTATTCTAAAAATCATTTTGGTTTGCAAGTACCTTTTTAGAGCACCCAAATATTTGGGTACCCATTTTTCGATTTAAACCAGTTAGGGTACCCGTTTTGCACAGCCCTAATTTTTGCTGGAAAGAGAAGTTGTAATGATATAGAAGCAGAAATATCAAATATAATTCACGTCACTTGTTTACCACATCATTCAAGCCCCTAAATTTAAAAAAATAAATAAATTTAAACATTAAATTTCGAATTTCAAAATTTTCAAACCCAAATTTCACATACTAGCCGCAAAAATGCTATACCCACCGAAAAGTTGACACAATATTGCACCGAAACACGTGGAAGCCGCCACGTTGGATTGATTGAAAACAGACAATAGGGGGACGGCCGTCCAAATTATCAGAGGGTGTCCATTCCTAAAATATGTTGGACGGCCGTCCCCCATATGGGTTGGCCGTCCCTAATGATGAACGGTCCTGCTAATTGGACGACCGTCCCCATATATGGACCGGGCACCGTCCCCCTTGAGGACGGCCGTCCATCTCTATGAGGACGCCGTCCAAATTATCAGGACGCCGTCCAATTAGAAGGGCTCCGTCCAAATTAGAAGGGACGGCCGTCCAAATTAGAAGGGACCCGTCCTTATAAGGGGACGGCCGTCCTCATAGTTTGTAAATTTTTTATTATTACTTTTTTTTAATATAATGTAAATATGGACGGCGTCCCTAGTATATGACTGGCGTCCATCTACTAGGGACACCGTCCAAACTACATGGACGCCAGTCCATCTACTAGGACGGCCGTCCAAAATACATGACTGGCGTCCATATTTGTTAAATTTTTTTTAATTAATAATAAAATGGCTTGCCTAATACGCTTCATTTAAGCGCCAAATTTTTTCTTCTCTTTTCCTTCGTCTCCCTCATTTGTTTATCTTCTGTTCTTCGTCTGCGCCATTTGGTTTTCTTAGCTTCTCTTCTTGCGTGTTGTGATTCCTTGACGCCGTTACTTCTCAACAGCCAAGCAACAGCACAATATCTCGTCCAAGCACCAGCAGCAATATCTCGTCCTACAGAGATAACCTTGAAACGAAAGTAAATATCAAAACTGTTAAAGCTAGGATTTGTTTGTGAAGGTAAAGAATTTTTGACTTATTTTTATTCTATTTTAGATTGAATATATGTTTGAATGGATTGAATACATGTTTGATAGATAATATTTGTTGGTGACAGTTGTGAACTAGATTCGTGAACGTAAAAACTGGTATTAGTTTGCATGAAATAACTGAATATGGAAGAGTCCAGTGTGCCTCGTTTAATGATGTTGGTAAATTGTTTTAGAACTTTTTATATGGTGTATTGTATTGTTTATTATGATGCGTTTACATTCTAATTTTATTATTATAAAACCATTGAATCGGAAAATGAATGTGATGAATTAGAAGATACGAGATGTGCAGAGAAGAAGTGGAGCCTCATATTGAATGGTGTTTGATTCAGTTGATAGTTTGGTGAAGTATTCAGAAGTGGGAATATAAATGGGTTTTGAAGCAATGATACGTACTCAAAGAAAGGAGATGGAGAATTATAGATACGTACAGTGGCGTGTTCTTGTTCTGGAAGGAGAGAAGTAAATCAAATACCTTGAAAAAACAACCTGTTGCAAAACAGATTGTAAGAGTCGGATTAGTGCAACTTTGAATGGTGAATACAAATGGGAAATTAAGTCAGTTGTGCTTGAACTAACCATGATCTTACAAGTCCGACGAAAAGAAGATATTTCAAAGTAAACCGAACGATACAGCCTTTTGTGAAAAGGAGGCTTGAAGTTAATGATCAGGCTGGGATTAGACCGTGTAAAAATTTTCATCATGTTCAGTTGAGGCAGGATGGTAGAGAATTTGTCATTTCACAAAAAGATTGTAGGAATTACATTGAAAAAGTTAGAAGGCTACGACTTGGAGTTGAGATCTTCGGCAGTGCTAGAGATTTTATGAAAATGCAAAGGAGAATTCTAATTTCTGGTACATGATTGATGTAGATGAGAGAGTCGATTGAAGAATGTGCTATGGCTTATGCTAGATGTAGGGCCGCATATAAAGATTTTGGTGATGTTGTGACTTTCGACACAACGTATCTGACGAACAAGTATAGATGCCATTTGCGGCTTTTGTGGGGGTTGATCATCATGGACATTCGACATTGTTAGGTTTGGTTAATTTCACATGAGACACGAGACATTTGTATGGCTTTTTCGTTCTTGGCTTGAATGCATGGATGTTGCTCCTAATGGAATTATCACTGATCAAGATAAGGCCATGCAAAATGCAATCGAGATTGTTTTCCCTAGTACAAACATAGGTGGTGTTTGTGGCATATAATGAAGAAACTGCCTGAGAAGTTAAAAGGGTATAACGAATATGAAACTATAAAGTTTACGTTACAAAATATGTGTATGATTCGTTGGCACGTGAAGAGTTCGAAAACGGTGAACAATTCATTGAGTGTATAACCTTCATGAGAATGAATGGTTATCTGGATTGTATAAGAAAGAGTACGTTGGGTGCCTGCATTTCTTAAAGATACATTCTGGGCAGGTATGTCTACTACCCAACGTAGTGAAAGTATGCATGCATTTTTCGATGGATATGTAAATTCCAAAACAACATTGAAACAATTTGTGGAACAATATGATAATGCATTGCGAGATAAAGTGGAAAAGGAGAGGGAGGCTGATTTTAGATCTTTCAATCTGGATACCATGCATAACGAATTACGCCATGAGAAACAATTTCAAAATGCATACACAACCGCAAAATTTAAAGAGTTTCAAGAAGAGATTGCGGGGAAGATTTATTGAATTATCTATTCTGAAAAAGTCCGATTCGTATGAGGAGTATCAGGTTTTAGAAGATATTTGGTTTGGAGATAGTAATCGGCGTGTTCCGTTCTGGTTTACTTTGAAGAGATTTCATGTGATATTCCTGCAATTGTCATTTGTTTGAGTTCAAAGGTATTTTATGCAGACATGCCCTTATTGTGTTGATTCATAAAAGGGTTCACACATTCCAGATAAGTACATTCTACGGCGTTGGAGGAAAAACATAAAAAGATGTCATACGAAAATCAAGGTAAGTTATAATAGGTGGAGCACAAACGTTGAAGGACACGTTTGAGAAGTTGTCTAATCATGTTGACAGTAGCTGATATGGCATCACAATGAGGAAGACTGTAACATGTTGATGGAATTGATTACTGGAGTGAAAATCAGTTGGAGCAGAAGGAAGATGAGGGGGGGTTTGTTAGTAAAGAGGGGGACAATCCCAGAAAGAGAGGAATAGTCTAATTAATAGTCCACGGTAGCTCGCAGCAAAGGTCGTCCTCATGCAAAAGAAAACAACGAAGGTTGATGAAATTGTTCATAGAGAATAAAATCAAAAACTCCGAAAACAAGACTTGGTATGAGTTTATACACCCATTCTGACATGATATTTGTTTTTTAAAGATATTTACGTATTTGAAGTTTATTATAATATTTACTTGATTATTAATGTGTTATGCTACTTTATAGGGAAAGAATCATCAGCAGACCGAGCCAA